TCTCCGGGCACCTCTCTGCAGTTAAGGCTTTCAGAGCACTGGCACTGAAGGAGCTCTGCTTTGAGCAAGAAGAAGAAGGAGGTGGGGTTGGCCTCCACCTCAACATCCCCCTGGGGAAAAGTCCTCACCTGCCAGTCTAGGATCTCCGGCTTCCCACTGAAAAGATTGTGGCAGTAGTGGCAGTTGAGGTGGATCCCACCTTCCGGGCTGGTGCGCTGCAGGAGACAGAGACAGCTCATGGAGGGAGACACACACAGAGGGCAGCGAGCACCCACTTTGCACTGCCACCATCTCCTGCCTCCTCCACCACTCACAGCAGCCCGCCTGCCCCTGCTCAGCCCTGTGCTTGCTGCCACTGTCAGTGACTCACAATCCATCACATCATGTCTCGAGCTCCTGGCAAGCAGATTCTTGAGCAATTTCACTTTTCTTCCAGTGTACTGGGTCCAGCTCTTCTCAGGAAGGCAAGCTTTCAAGCTGCAACTCCTCTGGATTTAAACATATTACCCACTACCTCTTCTGAGAATTCCTCTATAAGATTTTGAAACATAGGGGCCTGGTTTCTATTTTCAAGGTAATGGAACTTCAGAATTCAAGCAGACGTTCTCATCCTACCTTTCTCTGCTAGATTAAACAGCCATTTAGCACTTGGTGTCTTGTCCACAAGGACGTATTTATTAATAAAGTCATCTTCCTGGGTTTCTTTCTGATAACCTCAGATAAGGGGCTCTGCGAGTGCCTCAGTACATGCATTTTTCAAGCCCAAATGTAATTTTTCTGTCTTTTTTTCCAGCATAGTTCAATTTTTTCTTCAATGTTGAAAATAAATTGGACATCAGATGAACATGCTCCCTATCTGTGCAACATCCTAGGTAGCTCTTTTGCTCCCTAGCCCTCAGACTTTAACTCTCTGTTCCCCTGCTTGTACTTGCAATAACTTAATTAATCCTTCCCTCTGTGGCTGTAAACTGAGATGTTCACACTGAACGGCTTATCTGCTGTAATCCCAGGGCCTTTGTAAAATCTTTCCTTTCCCAGAACTTACATCCCCACACTATCTGAGCAAGGCTGATGCAGGATCTTGCACTAAACTGTGTTCAAGCACACATTAGGAGGAACCCGCCTTGTCAGGCAATCCAATTGCTTTCCTTTCTGTGACTGCCCTGACCTCAGCAGAAGTTACCACTTCACCAGTTCTTGTTTCATCTGCAAAATTTTATCACGCTTACTTTGACTTTATTGCCAGATGACTGATGAAGGTGTTCAACTCTTTGGGCTTAATACCAATCCCCAAGAAGCCATCTTGAAACACCCTTTTCAGTGGTTTTCCTGACACAAGCGTGTTCTGAGATCTGCCAGCAAGACAATTCCTAACCCAGATTAGGCATGGGTTTACTTATACATTACAATCCCAATTTCATGTGGCAATAAATTCAAGTTACATGAATTAAGTGAAGTCTCTGGTAACTGGAAAAAGGAAAACATTGCAACCATTTTTAAGGGTAGGAAGGAGGACCCTCAGAACTACTGACCTGTCAGCCTCGCCTCTGTGCCTGGCAAGCTCATGGAACAGATCCTCCTAGGAGCTATGCTAAGGCACGTGGAAGACAAGACAACAAGGCTTCACCAAGGGCAAGTCTTGCCTGACCAACCTAGTGGCCTTCTATGATGGAGGGACTGCATCAGTGGACAAGGGAAGAGTATGGATGTCATACGTCTGGACTTCTGTAAGGCCTTTGACACAGTCCCCCACAACATCCTTCTCTCTAAATGGGAGTGATGTAGATTTCATGGATGGACTATTCGATTGATGAGGGATTGGTTGCATGGTCACATCCAGAGGGTGGTGGTCAAAGGCTCAATGTCCAGATAGAGATCAGTGACGAGTGCTGTCCCTCAGGAGCTCGTACTGGGGCCAGTATTATTTAACATCTTCATCAGTGACGTAGACAGTGGGAATGAGCACCCTCAGAAGTTTGCATCTGACACCAAGCTGTGTGGTGCAGTTGACATGCTGGAGGGAAAGGATGGGATCCAGAGGGACTGGGACAAGCTCGAGAAGTGAGCCCATGTGAACCTCATGAGGTTCAATAAGGCAAGTGCAGGGTCTTGCATGTGTGTCAGGGCCACCCCAGTATCAATACAGGCTGGAGGATGAAGGGATTCAGAGCAGCCCTGCCAAGGACTTGGGGGTACTGGTGGATGAAAAGCTGGACACGAGCCGACAATGTGCGTTCGCAGCCCAGAAACCAACCACATCCTGGGCTCTATCCAAAGGATCGTGACCAGCAGGTTGAGGAAGGTGATTCTGCCCCTCTACTCTGCTCTGGTGCGCCCCACCTGGAGTACTGTGTCCAACTCTGGAGGTCTCAGCACAGGAAAGACATGACATGAACCTGTTGGAGCAGGTCTAGAGAAGGACCACAAAGATGCTTTGAGGGCTGGAGCACCTCTCCTTTGGAGACAGGCTGAGGGAGCTGGGGTTGCTTGGCCTGGAGAAGAGAACGCTCCAGGGAGACCTTACTGCAGCCTTTCAATACTTAAAGGGAGCTTATAAGAAAGATGAAAACAAACCTTTTAGTAGGACTTGTTGCAATAGGACAAGGTGTAATGGTTTTAGTTTAAAAGAGAGGAAATTTAGATTAGATAAAAGGAAGAAATTTTGTGCAATGAGGGTGGTAAAATCCTGGCACAGGTTGTACAAAGAGGTGGTGGATGCTCCATCCCTGGAGACATTCCAGGCCAGGCTGGATGCGGTTCTGAGCAGCGTGGTCTAGTTGAACATGTCCCTGCTCATTGCAGGGAGGTTGGACTGGATGAGCTTTGAAGGTCCCTTCTAATCCAAACTATTCTAGAATTCAAGTCTTATGAAGTCTACAAGTGTAGAACATCTACAGGCACCAAAGAAAACCATTTGTGATCTCAGCAAATGATAACATCGAACAAACAAAAAAACAATCAAAACCCACCCCTAACACAAATAGCACAAGAAAAAAATCTCACAAAACCAAATGGTCAGTAACTAACTCTCTACCTCCGGATTCTCTAAGTTTTCACAGTTGCCCAAAGCATGTCCTGGCCTAAGTTTCCCAGGTCTTCCTGCCTGTCGCTTTGTTCTTTGACAACTGTACAAAACTAGTATTCTTCCAGTTGCCTTTGAATACCACAAACATTTCACATATGCTGAAACATAATATCAGGAGATTGAAAACCACTAGTCAAGCCTTTGAGGATTATTAAACATGAGGTATCTAGGCCTTCTGCTTGTAGACTTTTAGGCAACACATCCTAGAAGTCTTATGTTCTTTGGTGACACCTTGCTCAGAGGGCAGCTCTGCCCCTTTCCAACCCACTAGCACGTGCCCACCATGCTCTGCTAGCTTACTTGTGCTTTTGCTCATGCCCTCACAAGGCCATTACATCCCAAAGCAGTCACACAGCACAGCTCTGCACTGCACTCCAACTGGGCAAAACCTGATAGATGGGAGTGAATTAAAGTCCACCTTATCCCAACAGAGAAAGGGGAGATAGGGCCAAGACTGAGTTATGGGCAGTACAGTCACTACAACTCTTGTGCCCCATCAGAGACTTTCTTATGGACCCTCCCTGAGAAGCTTTAGGAAGGTGAAGCCTCTGGTAAGTGTGAAAGGAGGCACAAGCTCTATTGCCCAGCCCAGCATGAAGGATATTTCAATACCTGGAATTTGGTCCAGCAGCTGGGGCTGCAGAACTGGTAGACAACCCGGTCTGTCTTGTTGTAATAGCAGGGTTCAGATAAACTCTTTCTGCAGAAGCTGCAGGGTCTAGGGGCACCTGATGAAACAGACAGGCATTGGTGAGGGCAGCAGCACAGGATGTGAGACTGGATTCTGAGGATGGCATGCAAGCTACTCACTCATTCTCAGTCTGTCAAGCTATTATCAAAAAGCAAGGGACAAGAACACCAGGGAACTAAGAGCACCAGATTCTGCTAGGACAGAAATGTTAAACATGGATGGAAAGCAGAGTGTTTCAAGGAAGTGACCCTGGCTCTAGAGGAATTTGGACAAAATAGGCTGCATATTGCACCAGAGACCATACCCATTCCTGGACACCCTGGTACTCCATGTAATGGAAAGAGCAATGCCAGCACAGTACAGCACTACAACTGTTTTTTGCATTCTCAAGATCAGCAATGTACACTATCCCTCAGTATTAAGATTTCTACATGCAAGGGTTCCTCCCTCTCCAAATCTCCTCCACTTCTCTCACTAGACTCCTCCCCAGGCAAGCAACACACCTTCTTTCCAGCCTCATTCACAGGCAATAAATGATACCAAGAAAAGAGCTAGAACGGACAGGTGACTGGTTCCCTGTATGTAGGTGCTCTTACCAACCAAGCCTGACTGCTTCACTTTGTGGGAGGTAGTGCAGCAAATGGAACAAAACAGGCCCATCTTGCCACTGCGATCCACGTTGGGCAGCATGTCAAAGTTCTTGCACAGCGTCTTGCACCACATGCACGGGTAGACCCGAGTGTTCTTCTGCAAACACAGAGCAGAACAGAGCTGCCAGGGACACCATCACAGCCAATGATGTCCAGTCCTCATATCCTGCCCCACTATTGCATCCACCATTGGCCAGCTCTCCTGCAGGAACAGCTGATGCCAGAGCCAGGCTCATAGTCTGCAGGTTCAGGCTGCCTTTGGCACCTCACCTTCTCAATTCATGGATACTCTGGCAGGAATACAGAGTTTGGCAATCCCATCAAGACAGTTAAGTGAAGCCTGCTCAGGCCACAGAGGAACATATCCATCTTTGGGGAGACATCCAAAAGAAGCCAGCCCATACTAGCCACATATACCAGTGTCACTGCACAGTCCAGCTTATGGAGTGGAGTGCCTGACCCGCGGTCAGGTCCAAGACAGGCTGCACGCAGATTAAGTAAATTCTGTTGACCTGCTTCAAAGTTTCTCCACAGCAATCTCTTAAATGCTTTGTCAGCAATAAAAGGCCAAAGGGATTCAAGTCACCTGCTACTACATGAAGTGCCCTGTGCCACCCAAGCAAAAGAGCTGTGTGCCCACAGAGACACCCCCCCCCACCCCAGGCAGCTGACTCTACCCACCTTCTTATAACTGTTGAGACAGGCAGAGTTGCAGAAGCGTTTTTGCTGGCCTTCGTGGAAGAGGTACTCCAGCGGCAAGCCCTTGTTGTAGATGTAAAGTCCACAGTTATCACAGCAGTTGGTTTTCAGCCCCTTGGTGGCCCGGAACTTGGTGAAGCAGGCATCACTGCAGATGCGGTGAACCACACTCCCATTGCTGACCTCATGCTGGATCTGCAGAGACATCATTGCTGTCACTCCCCCAAACCACCATACGCCTCCCTTCAACACATGTGCACCACTACAACATGGCCCCTGGGAGAACAGGCTGTTACACTTAAACTGGGGCAAGTGCCACATTGGAAGCTGGCATGGACTCAGGCTGACCTCCGTCACCAAAAGTCAGCAGAGCAATTTGGGAAAGGAGAGTAGCAGGAAGCAGTGAACTTCAGGGTGGGGAGAAGTAGAAGCCTTACTTCTTCTGCTATAACAAGGGCTGGTTCACAGCAACAAGGAAGGACATGGCAGTGAGCCAAGCCAATGCAGGTGCTGAATCCTCACCCCTTGGGTGAACACAACAAATGCCCTGTGATGACTCCCAGGCAGGACCAAGTGCTGCAGGTCCCAAGCACCTCATCCAGGACATGAAGCACAAGGGATCCATTTACCTCGCCAGGTTTGTAGCAGACACTGCAGCGGCTGGTGTCCAATACATCTGCAGACTGAGGTGCTGGTCTGTGCTGCTGGGCCTCATAGAGGGAGAGGCAGACAGATGTGCAGAACTCATGGAAAGAGGCGCCTGAACCAATCTGGGCAACCACAGAGTCCTTGGTGTTCCAGATCTCCCTGGAATCAGGAGGGGATGTGTTAGTGCAGAGGCACAGCAGTTCTGCCAGGAAGGTACAGATGGCACACTGCAATGCACAGGACTTCCTGGGGTCCCAAAAGGGTGGCAAGAACTGTCTCATAACACCTGCTGTCCCAAGCCAGAGGTATGGTGCCTGAAGATGGTGCATGCAGGAGGTTGTTTTGAGAGGAGGCTGAGATATGGGGCATTGAGCCTGTGGACAGGCAGGGAAAGGCACTAATGTGAAGAGGATGTAGGCAGCCTGGGATATATGGTGTGTGAAGGAAGACATGGGGCAGCAGCTGGCATTGGACAACGACTGATGTGGGTGAATAGGAAGCATGAAGGTTCATAGGGACGGGGACAGGCAGGTACCTGTGGGGTAGGTGGATGGGGTCACAAGCAGGGGAGCATTGAGGAGAGGGAAAGGAACACATACTTTTTACAGAAGGTGCATATCTTCTTGCCAGGTGGTTTTTTGGAGAAGGTGGTGAGACAGGAGCTGGAGCAGAAGAGCTGAGGGAGCCCTTTCCGCTGGTAGGCAGTCTGGCCCTTCTGCAGCGGCGTCCGGCAGTTGGCACAAGTCATCTTGGTGACGGTGGAGCGGGCAGCTCGCTGCGCCAGCTGAGTGCGTAACGACATGCGAGTTGAGCGGCGGGGACGAAAAGGAACAAAATCCTCATCATTGGGATCATCCACCATGGCATCAGAGTCTTCGTCAGAGACTGGAACTGCAAAGCAGCAGAGAAAGATGCACAGAAATCCCTCATTAGAAACTGAGACAGAAACCTCTGCCATGAGACACACGCTGGGGCTTTCTGCGGTCACCCTTCTGGAGTCCCTCTCCATGCTCTGTGCCTGTCTGGGTGGCATGATAAAGGGACCCTTAAAAGGTATTCTCTTGGAATTGGAGATGAGTCAGGCGGTTTTTGAGCAAACTGGACTTAAGTATGATTCTCCTCTAGGAATCAGGATTTGCCAAGATTGAGCAGAAGCCCAAAGTGAACATTTACAGCAGGAAACCCTTCAAGCCCTTAAAGGGACCAAGCTGGATCACCAGTTTCCAGCACAGGCAGGCAATGAAGGAGCAACATACAAATACTAGGGAACAGCAGGGTGACACTCTACATCACAACCAGAGACTTCATGGTCTTCTGCAGGAAAATCCCCCAAAAGTAATCTTCCTTCAGAGAGCCTGCAGCCATAGAGACAAAGGCAGAAAGTTCCTGACTGAGGAGATGGAAAATGGATTTCCTGGGAACAACCCATCTACCTCTATTACTTGGTGTTTGTAAAAATACTACAACCCTCCCTTTAACCTAAGTGCCCTGAGAAAGCAAGGCAAGTACCCGAGGATGAAGACTCATGGGGTGAAGGTACCTGTTCTGCGTAAGAGGAAGGTCTGCAGAGAAGCTCCAGAGTTCCCACTGCACTCACACCATGAGCCACCTGCCACAATGGGCCTGGGCCCTGCTCTTGGGCTGAAAACAGGCACTGGCCGGCCCTAGTTACTTACTGCTCTCAGAGGAGTTCACAGTTTCAGGCCTGGCAGCTTCTGATCTTCTGGCTCGTTCACTTCTTTTCTGCTCCTAGGAGACATTAAAAAAATATTTAGGCTAAGCACCTGCTAGGACAACCATGGACAACTATCCCAGACCATGGTTGAGTTCCAGCTTCTGCGATCTGCTTTCCCAGTACCTATGCTGAAAATGGATAGAATTCCACAGACACCTGACCAGAGTTGGCAAGATGGGGGATAGGATGAAGTAGGGTTATGAGAATGACATTCCAGCTGGAGGTAGCAGAGACACACTGAAGACACATTACAGCACAGTGGCAGTGCACAGGGATCACGGTCACAGGAGACATGCAAACACTTTCCCAGCAGGGTGACGAGACAGGCAGTGTCCCTCACAGAGTCTGGCAATACCAGCCACCCTCTATGCTCCTGTAGCATATATACTTGACTGCATTATCCTCACCTTCTCAGCTGGCAGCTCGCTTCCCTTCCCAGACAGGCCTTCTCCTGGAACAGAAGCACAGAAGAAGCTTGCATCTAACATCTTGCTTTTCTCTAAAAGAAGGGGACAGATGTTCTTCAAATGCAGTCACCCTTAAGGTCAGTCTGCACATGAGGCCTCAGACAGTCCTGGCTAAGCAGCACAGTTCTGGTGGTGATCAGACACAGGAAAGTTCCTAAATCACCTATAGCTAGAGATACAAACACATGGCCTGGAAGAAGTCCATTAACGAGGGAGACCTCCCTGCAAGGGAGAGGCATGCTGGGCAGTTGCCTTCAACTGCTTCTGACCAAGACTGAGCATCTCCTGAGGAGGTCCAGCCTAGGCAGAGGGTCTTTGCCTATTGGAAACACCTTCTGGTTGACCCTCAGTTCCAGCAAAGAAGTAACTCCAGTGATGAGCATGGGCTAAGCCGATGTGCAGCCGCAGCTTTATCAGGGAACCTCCTAGCTGACACAAGCATCAAAAAACAAAGTTAAAGCTACGAAAGCTAGAGCAAAAGCTTGTGAGCATCAAGGGAGGTGCTTCCAGAGCATTATTCCCTATAAGCAAGACTCCTTCCCCAAATCTAACCCATCAGGAGCATTGACAATTTCCATAACAGGGGACAATGGGCAAAGTTGAAATACAAAACAGACTCCAGCTTCAGCAATGTGCAGGATGACCTACTGAGCAAAAGGAAGCCAAATTCTGCAGAGATAATGACCTACCTGCCGGTGACGAGGCTTCCTGTGCTTTCAGTACACTACTTTCTTTAAGTGAGTTGTTCCCACTATTATCCCCTTCCTCTGCCTGGTTTTCCTCTATGGGCTCAGGGGGCAAAGCTGCAGTTCTGTTGTCCATGTTCAATTCCACCTCTGACACCCCTGTTAGCCCTTCCTTCTGCACGGGTGAGCTTTTCCTTGGTGCCTTCAACCTTGTCTTCTTTGTCTGTTTAAGATTGGGTTGGGAGGGGGCCATTGGCAGACTTGAGGATTGTTCTGTGACTTCTTCCATGGCTGGGGCACTGCTGAGGTTCCCAGAGTCAGGAAGAGACTGTCGGGGTGATTCAGGGGTGTTGTCATCAGACAGTGCAGGAATAGCAGCAGCACCATCTTCCTTTACATCCCCAGAATCACTTCTTGGTGCATCTTCCCCTTCTTTCCACGTTTCTGGAACAAGGGCTTCCCTAGAGAGGGCAGAGGAGTCTGTCGGTCCCTCCTCCACTTCCTGGGAAGGATGTACCTTATACAGCCCATCCAGACCCTCCGATTTATCCAGCTCTACCAAGTCAGCAGTTTTATCCGAGTCACCTAAGACATCAGGTTTCTCCAGCATATCTAAGACAGTAGGTTTATCTAGAATGAGGTTGTTTGATTTGTTTAGTTCAGACAGGCTGTCTGCTTTCACTAGAAGGCCCAAGTCCCCATCTGCAGTCATCTGCTTGGATTGATCCCAGTCAGGGGGCTGAAGAACTGAAACTTCGTCGGTAGAAGCTGTTTGGGAGCCCAGGAGATCACAGGAAGATCACCAATAAGCGGTTTGTCAGGCAAGGACAAGGGGTCCAAAGATCCTGGAAATTCGCTGGAATCCATTTAGAAGATGGCAACTGGAAAGGAGAGAAAGACTTGCAAGTTAATGAAAAGCAGTCTAACACAGCACATGAATTGTCCACTCTTCTGAACAATGTTGGAGTAAAACAAGGCAGCAGGACACAGCAAACCTTTGGGAACTCTACAGCCTCCGTACACCTCACCACAGCATGGCAACCAGACTTGCTTATGCTAAATGACACAGTGGGATATCAGAAATGACTTGAGTACCAACTTGAGGCTTCACACAGCTGTTCCATGGTGTGTAATGCCCCCTTCCCTGCCTTTCTCTGTCTGACCAGACCGAAATAACCTGGTCTGTCCTTTCTCTTGGTCTGTTCTCATGGAGCCAACATATCTTTATTTTTAAAATACCTTTTCGGTTAAACATAGAGGCAGAAAGATCTTTAGAGGTCTGTAGACTGTGCCTTGAACTAGATACAGGATGACAAGATGCAGGAATTTTGTCAGAGGACAGACATAAAACATGTTATAGTAAACTCAGCTATAGCATAGCCTCAAAACTGTATAAGATAATACTCACAGAATCCCAGACTGGTTTGTGTTGGAAGGGACCTTAAAGCTCATCCAGTTCCAACCCCTGCCACGGGCAGGGACACCTTCCACTAGAGCAGGTTGCTCCAAGCCCCTGTGTCCAACCTGACCTTGAACACTGCCAGGGATGGGGCAGCCACAGCTTCTCTGGGCACCCTGTGCCAGCGCCTCAGCACCCTCATAGTAAAGAATTTCAGTAAATAAATTCATAGTAAAGTATCTATACTCTCATAGTAAAGAACTCAGACACAGAACATTTAGAAAAGCTTAAGTTAGAACTAGGAGAAATTCTGGAGACTGCCAAGAAGAAAGGTGGTAAAGTCCATGATGTTAAGAGCAGTCATAAGAGGAAGAACAAGTAGCAAAGTAGACATAAGCATGCAAAGCAGAGTCAGGAAAAAAGAGCAGTGTGACTTTGCAGGGCACAGACATCTTCCTTTGCACAGGAAGATGTGATGCTGACTTGTAACATCAGAGGGACAAAGTTACAGCCCAGCTCCTTATGGCTCACATTATCACAAGACAGAAAGGGCAAGACTGAGATGAGGCAAGTAAGCACTTCTATCGATATTGGCTAAAAATGAATTATATCCCCACAAAGAGATAATGATTGAAAAACCTGAAGAGGGAAAGGGACAGGAGCTGGAGTCTACAAGTAATCACGCAGAGTAAGACTTGGAAGAAGCATCACACCCCCAGTAGCATCCTTCCAGTATCTGAAGGGGGCTACAAGGATGCCAGAGAGGGACTCTTCATCAGGGACTGTAGTTATAGGACATGGGGGAATGGGTCCAAACTGAAACACGGGAGATTTAATTTAAATATAAGGAAGAAATTATTCAGTGTGAGAGTCATGAGGCAATGAAACAGGTTGCTCAGAGAACTATTCCATGATTCTATGATTCTAAAACAAGCTGTTAGTAGACACAATAAGAAAGGCACAAGAATCAAAAGATGTGGCACCAACCTATCCATCCCTGTTAGAAACATTCTAATTCTAAATTTGGCACTGTTTTAGGCCCTGAAGCAGAAGATACAGTATTCCTGTCTATTAGGGCTTACTATGGGCATAACTCACCCATATGAATGAAGGAGGAAGGCTGAAATAATTTCACTGGTGAAGGCTGATTAATTCTTTCTTTGTATCCTTCCCCCTGAAAGAATAACCAAGTCTCACTCACAGATGGTTTATTCAGAACTGAACAGGACATACTTGGAAAGACAAAATACCCAACTTCTGAAACTCGTTTAAGTAAGACTTTAGGGAATCATACCCTACTCCATAGCCAGGAGTTCAAAGTCATTGCCTCCTTATTTTATCTTAAAATACAGCGACCATTTCTGTTTCACAGCAGCAGATAAGCACTATTCCCGCCATCACAAACAGAAACTACACAAGATGGAATCTTCAGAGATTCCAAGCAAGTTTCACCGCTGAAGACTTTGATGATGATTCCATTCACTTTCTTTAGTTACAGAGGAGACGGAGCTTCCAGTATGAGCCAATTCCAGAGCAATTCAGGACCTAATATGTGTTTTCAGGTGGCTGACAGAAAAAATAACAAAGTAAAATAGAAATAAAGACATTTGAAAGAAAGCTCCTAAGGACTGGAAGCAGGTGAGAACCCTCCCAAGACGATAAACACATTTTTTCTGCTGCTCGGAAAGCAAACAATGCCTTTTTCTCAAAGATGCCCCCCACCCAGATTTCCAGACAGGCAGCAGACCTTACAACAATAAGCAGCAGAAAGGTCAAGTCACCAGATGCATAAGGAAAGTTTATTTATAGATATACTTAACAGGACTAACATCCTCCTCAAATTCACCTTCAGACACTTTGCATGAGTCTGCAATGAACCACAGAGGTAATACTCATACGGTAGTTGCCAGTTTCAGCTGGCCTAGACTTTGCTTGGTAGAAATAGATCCTGGGGACAGTTTAGAGCATAAGAAATCCATTTGGGTATTCCCTCCCAGAGAATAATGCAAGCATCAATTCATCTATGATCTTGCCATGCTTCTCATGCGCTCTATAAGTAGACCAAAAGAGTCCAGTTTCAACAGTGCATACCTTAACATTGATTTCAAACTCTGGATGCAAGAGCATCATGATCATAGAATCACAGGCTGGTTTGGGTTGAAGGGACCTTAAAGCTCAACCAGTTCCAAGCCCCTGCCACGGGCAGGGACACCTTCCACTAGAGCAGGTTGCTCCAAGCCCATGTGTCCAACCTGGCCTTGAACACTGCCAGGGATGGGGCAGCCACAGCTTCTCTGGGCACCCTGTGCCAGCGCCTCAGCACCCTCACAGGGAAGAGCTTCTGCCTCAGAGCTCATCTCAGTCTCCCCTCTGGCAGGTTAAAGCCATTGCCCTTGTCCTGTCCCTACATCCCTTGTCCAAGCTCTGTGAGAAGGCAACAGAGAGCAGATGACTGCTGACTTTTGATGTATTAAGCTAGGTTCCAAGGGGCTTGGAGCAACCTGTCTAGTCGAAGGTGCCCCTGCCCATGGCAGGGGCTTGGAGCTGGATGAGCTTTAAGGTCCCTTCCAACACAAACCATTATATGATTGTATGAATCTGGAAAAGCTGATGGAGTTTGAGTTGAGGCAGGACCCAAGGAGGTGATGCTAACAAGCAGTCTGAGCAGGAAAGCAAGTGATGTCCCTGCGCATCACTGCAATTCTGTTTCTCTTACAATGAAGTCTTTACAGTGGCTTTCAACTGCCAGCTGTTGAGGATGAAGAGGGCAGCCCTGAGAACAGGAGAGAATTATGCTTTCCAGCTCCATGGGTAACTCTGAAGTCAAACTCAACTTGAGAAAACTAAGAGCTGCAGCAGGGTAAGAAATGCTACTTCTGTTTGCTTTCATTCACATTCTCCTTGGCTTTCTGCTGAGCTTCAAGGTGAGTTAAGCTTCCAACTGAACATCCACTCTACCTTTGGTAAAGTTTCTTCTAATTTGCTCCAACAGGAAAAAAAAAAGCTTATTGTTTCTGGTGACGCTGAAATGATCCACCACAAGTCATCATCTTTTTTATTCCAGAATCAGCTAATGCACAGCTCAGTCACTGGCCTCTGCTTGAAATCTTCCTTTTTTCCAGCCACATACCTGGCAGTGAGGAGAGTACCCTGGAAGATGACTTAGCCAAATGAAGAGGAGGCAGTAGATATGACTGCTGTGCTGGACATTTGAAAACTCCTTACTTAGGACTCAGCACCATCCTCTCCAAAATACTCAGCAACAGATAACCCTGGGAAGATCAAGTTCAAGGAGTCCCCCGCACAGGAGTCTGAAGCAGACTGCTTCTCAGGTAGCAGGTACGAGTTTCCAAAGTTGTCCAAGGAAACTGTAGCTGCTCCGACCTTCCAACCCAAACCACTCTGAGATTCTGTGAGCCTATGATTCTAAATGATGGGATGGCTGAGGGTCTGCCCCTCAGGAGTGAGCAGGAGTGGTATAGAATGCAACACTGACAGCCAGATCCAACACATGTGACTACCAAAACCGACCTGCATTTCCTGACAAAGGAGATGGATCTTCTCTCAGACCTGGAAGCTCAGAGCAAGCCATCTCTGCCAAGACACCCAAGTACACCAAGTGACTACCTGAGACTTTATCTAGCTTATTAAAGACATCAGTGGTGCTGTAACTGCACAGATCTTCCACATCTCAGTGTCCCCAGGTAACTATCAGCAGGGGAATATGTGGCCTACCTACAAAAAAGAGGAGCTACCATGAGACATTTAATTAAAATCGGGCAGTAAGAAAAAATACTGTAACAGCTCTCTCATGATGAAGTGAATACCTCAGAAGTCTCTACTGCCCACAAAATAGCATGGCCATGAAGTTACTGTTCCTCCAGCAAAGGAACAGCAACTGCTTAGGTACCTATCCTAGACTTTTGTCCATGGGTATGGATATGGATTCAGATTTTCAAGACTTTTGATGGCTGAAGGGATTTATCTTTTTTTGCTACTAGAGATCATTTGAAATATTAAAAGTGTTAATAGGTACAAAAAATTAGGACACTTATATCAACATCCCAGGTAATCCCTACCTACAAGTTCTGCAAGACCTGAGCAGAGCTCTGGAGGAAGTTCCTACTTCTTGTGCCAAATTATAGAATAAACAGTAACTCCCAACCTAGTATTTCTCAACAAAACCAACAGTGGTCAATACTCAGTTCTATCAATAAATCATTAGGAAAACAATATCAAGTCCTACCAGCATGGTTTCAACCAACAGATCTTCATTAACAGTATTATACCTTGACGGACAAACATGGCAAAAGCTAACTTCATTGCTGTGACTTATCCGAGTTTACCTGCGCAGCTGATAGCTTTCCAGATTCAAGCACTGCAAAACATTTATTACGGATTGGTTAACTCATTTTTATGAAGAAACCAGTAAACTAGCACACTGCTAAGGACCAGGTCTCAGCCCAGT